TGCAATTTATTCCACGTAGGCCAAAAATATGGCACAAGATGGACGAGCACTCCTCGTGATAACCTACCAGATTATGCTTTCATCTATGGGGCATATTTGTATTCACACGAATTTTTCGCAAGTAGTAGTTATTAAGGCAACTCGGCCCTATTTTATAAATGTACTTTGGTTACCGTTTTTGTAGTAGTTTAATAGCCGCAATCATCTATTAGCTGTCCACAAATTTTAGCTTGATTTAGGTACAGCTTAGTATTTGTCGAACAGATTTTATAAGGTATTAATATTAAAATAAATAGTTAGGTTTGTCCCATCCTGGTTACTGCATAAACGAGAAAACCAACTTAACGTTTAGTGTTTTGAATCTGGCAAAAATAAATCGTAGACACTATTGCAGTAAAGTCTAATTATTTATTCATAAATATGTTTCTCTCTATAAGATCCACTTAAACTACTGAAATATGCTTCACTGGCCTATTTATCTTATTTCTTAGACGGCAATGAAGCATAGCGAACGATAATAGTTGCCCGTTATCATTATGGCTCATCTTTTAATCATAACCCCAAGATGTTCGGACGATTTAAGGAAAACTGACAAATATGGGCATTTCGAAAAATATTGTTACCTCAAATTCTTCCCCTTCGGCTGACATCTTGGATGTTATTCTGTTCCAATCAAGTTATAATCAACAGAGATAAGATGAATTCTTCATGGGTATAAAGCTACTTACTTTTTTGGCGACAGTAAATTTTGTACTTATGGGTTTATTTTTAACTAGTATAGGCATCTCGAGATTTGGAGAGGAGTTAATTTGAGATTATGCTAAAATCTGACGATGATTAACCCTGAAAAGGCCCTTTATGGTGATTACCTTCTGTGGTAGAATTTGCCAAAAAACAGTAGGATGAAATCCCACTTTCTTTAATTATGATATAAGCTTGGTTGCTTACAGGCATTTTTAATTGTTGGAAATTACTAAGATTCACCGCAGTCGAAAGCTAGATGCCGCCAGCCATCCTGATACTAATTTTACCGAATTTCCATCTATGAATGATATTTTCTTCCTGTCAGGCTTGCATGTAGCCCCTTTAATCATCCTCTAAGCATTCGCGAGACAACAGTGTAGCAGATTAAAAGAGGGTTTCGGGCTTCAGCGTGTTTACCTAACCATGCTGCCAGGGTGCTAATTCAAGCTGCAAAGACTGAAGGGCCTGCCTAGTTAAGTGAATACTAATTAAAAAATCAAGTCACTGAGACTAGAAAACTATATGTGACTCAAAGTAAAATGATTATACCATTTAAAATTAGTACAAATTCAAAGACCTTACTTAAAAATAACATCAAAAATGACTTCTATCATTTTCGGATAGGTGATGGCATGAGCCAGAAAATACCAAGCTGTATGCCACCTGCTCGATTACGATGCATTCCGACTCATACAATGTGTTTCTTCTATTTTAATTTATCCTAGTCAGAAATTGGCCATTATTCCTTTAGGCCATCATGCACAAAATACTTTTTATTAGTTTATAGCTTATTGAGATAGGGAAAAGGCTTTGTCTTAATTTCTGGTTTTCCAATATAAAGATTTGCAAAGGATTACAAAATTGTGGTAACAAATAAGCAAAATGTACAATATTCTTCCGTAACAGTAGTTTTTCGTTGAAAATCAAAGTTTTGAGTTGAAACAAATTATTATTTTACGAGAATACCTAGTTTTGCGGGCAAAATGCACTTACTTTTATGTATACGAAAGAGAAAATACTAACATTGTCGCGCAATAACGCAGGACTACTAAGAAATTGAAAACAATAATCATCATCGAACTTGATCATTTTCCATGGTCAGAGAAGTTAGTGGTGACCAAATGTCTCAGCAAATAGGAGGCCAAATTTTAGTTCATTTGTAAAAATGGGTTGTACATCTTGTGATGTTCTGAATTGTTAAAACTCAATCAATGTGGATAAAGGTCGTGCACAAAGTAAAGTATTATTTCGTGGTCATCATCTCTCGACGTTTTCAGACATATTTCTAGATGTTTTAAGCAAAATTTACCCATTTTTTTCAAGAAAACTGGAAATAATTCATGTTCATTCTTAGTAGAGTTTACAGTGGTTTGATTGCTTACAAATTTTCAGCATCAAAATTTTATTAACATCTACAATTAGACCAATAATTTAGGGGAAACAGAGTCTTGTATTCCGGAATTAATTTTTGGATTAAAACAGGGAGCAAGTAAATTTGTTAACTGTTCAAATCATAAGAGGACTTAAGCGGTTGAGTTCACCTGTCGCTTATTTATCATCAAAGTTCACTGGTGTTCTTTCACTATTATCATTGTGCTTCTATTCTCAACCTAAAAGACTTAAATTTTATACAACTTGAAAAGCTTTACAGGAGACAGTTTTGTTTGGAAAAATAGGTTAATTATATTTCGAATAAAGTCTAACGAGCTCAAATTAGAATTTGCATCATAGTTGGATGATCCTCTTCAAATAGGTAATCAGCACCACCAAAATTCGGACCAGTTGGAAATTAGTTTACTCTTCTCAACCAGCCATACAGTATTATTCTTGAATGCAGTATAAAATGTGGTTTTACAATGAAAAGCCATTTGGTGAATCTCCGTCTAATAGCACCAATCAACAATAGCACTAAACATTGGGTCTACATATATTTCTGCACATAAAATTAAGTTTTAAAGTTCAAAAACAACTCTGGTTTATTTATACCAGTGTTATGGAACGCTTAACACATCTTTAGGATGCATTTGTGCCTTGATATCATACCAAAAAATGCAATTCTAAAAAGCATCTCCTGTGGTCGCATAATATCAATCCAAAGTAATAAACACAGGCTGGCTGAAAGATACTAGTTCTCATTAAGGGTGATTAACATTCGATTTCCCCAAAGATGACTGATAATTTGATTGGTAAACTAATATCTCCCAAAATTTTACGAGGAAGAAGTAGGATAGCGCATTTGAGGCATTGGAGAAATAAAAGTCTAAAAACATCTTCAATAAAAAAATCGTAAAGGTTTTAGGGGTTTTGTATGATTTTTTTCGTTTTACCTATAATTGGGTTTCATTTGAGCCCGTTGAAAACAATTTTGGAGATTTATTTGATGTAAAAGGAAAAATACCGACTGCCCATTTTGCCCTTTGAAGGTCACAAAGACTAGAGTAGTACTCATATTCATAAACCAGGCGTCAATTTAGAAGCAAACACTTTATTTGGAGCAAAAAGCTGCAAGATTAGGTTTAAACTATTTACTGTGCTGGCAACAAATTCTAAAACTTAAGAGTGAAACACTTAACATAAGGAACCTTATCCTATTTTTGTAAATCTGACGAAGTCTGTTTTCCATATTTTGTAAACTTAAAAAGTGTCCTGAATGCATCTCAGTGTTGAGCATTTTATGCCTTAGGGTAAAACACCTAAGCTTGCATTTTTTCTAACTACTATTTTCTTTCCCTACCCATCATAATGCCTTTCCTCACGCTGAATTAATTATGACTATCGTACTTTTGCAGAGTGGAATGTTTTAGTACGCGATATGTACCTCACCCAGTTTGTACTTCAAAGGATATCAAACTTTGCAAGTGTAATATGTGCTACGCCATCGCTATTAATTGCTTCGCGTAAAGCGGGTGCATTATGCCTAATAGTACATTAAAAAAATTATTGATGATTACCAGGCACAAATATCGCTTTAGGGTCTAGGGCCGAAAAATTACCATATTCAATCCAATAAAGTGGACTTTCATGAGCGTCCTTACGCCTTCATTGCAATACCTTTGTTTCTTGCCAAATCGTGCAGTAGTTTTAAGGAAAATAGCAATATGAATACTGTAATATTTTACTTTGTACCTTAAAATTTTTAAGACATTGCCATGCTTTACAAAAATCTGTTATGAACAGATTTCTAAGTAGGGTTAAAAATATTTTAATATTTTAATTAACGTGACTTACAAAATCTCCGCCTTTGTTAACGAGATTTATTTACAACTTTAGTGATTTATTTTTTAAATTACTGACTAAAATTGCACACTGTCACTGGTACTGATGGGTCATACTAAATTTTACATTCTGTCATCAGAAACTAAGAACTGACAATCTTTTTGCCTAATGTCCACATAATTTATCATAATTAAAATAAAGGTTCAGTTGCGCAATTGCGCTGTTTATAAGTTTGTTATGAAAGGCAACTAGAAGTATCATTTTCTCTAGTGCTAGAAGATATTTACGAATTATTGTCGCATAACTTATTAACTTGAATGATAGTAAATATTGGTTCAAGTTAAGCCAAACTTGTATGTTTTCATTGCAATCGAATGCATGAAAAATTGTTTTCCATAAAAATTTATTAGTGTAATTAGGTGGATAGTTTTCTGGCAACGAGTGAAACAGTAGCCTTTAAAAGTCATATTTTAAATTTCTTTTATGCGAAAACTGCCCTAATTTACTCTGCATTTTTAGCTTCAATCTTAAGAGGCTGGCAGCTCTATTTTGCTTTTCAGAAAATTTAAAAATTTAAGTTATATATTTGACTCTTAAATGCTGTGAAGAGTCTTTTCTCTTGTGATGTTGTCAAGAAAATCGCAAGTTCAATTATCCATGTATGCACATGACTCTACTTCTATTTGCGTCAATGACAATAAAAACAATCTTGTACTTATCAAAGTAGCCATTAATATACTGATTATTGTTCCATATTTTGATTATATACAGCTGAAACCACTGCAGTTGTACAAAGAAAACACACTTTCTAAAATAGATTGTCGGTCTGCTTTTCGGATTAATTAAAAAATTTCATCAGATTACCTAGTTTATGACTGCAAATCAAGACTGAAATAGTATGAGATTCATCATGAAACGTAATGATGGTGTGCGGTCCCTTTGAATTTGCAATGTTTTTAGAACACAAAATGCATGCACGGAAACGGCCGCCTTAAAGCGTTTTTGCTCTTTAATTTCAACAGCTGTTGAGGCTGACTGAGCTAGACTAAAGAGGGCGTTTTCTACAAAAGAAAAAAAACTGCACCAAGTATCCTCCAGGTTGCCAGATATCACCATATATTAATGAAGTGTTACATGCATTATCAAAGTCCGTTTTGCACTTAGATGCAATGCTGGACGATAATAAACAGGTGTAAATATTTAACTGTTCTGCCTTTTTCATAGGTGTAATTGGATAAAAATCTTACAAATTTAGCAGTGACATTTTTTAATTGATAGACCAAGTTTGCATTCCCGCTTGCTTTTCTGGTACAGATTTTATGAACCCTCAACCAATATTACAAAATCAGATGTGACGTCAGCTACTAGGACATTTTAGATGCAAGAATAGGTCCGAGGTAACCTTATTGTTTTCACCGCTTCCATGTGATTGATGAGTTTTGTCTTGACTTATACTCGAGAAAATCCGTCTAAAACAATGCTTTAATTGTGCAGAAATTAATGGCTCTACAACCGACCCTTGAAAATTAATCAACTTTTCCTACAGCAAACACTTTTTACTTTAAGAAGGACTGCTAACTATGCACCATTAGCATTAACTTGCAAAATTTAGTTGAACCATATCATTGGGTTTAATAAAACCACTACTTACCCTTGTGTGGTTACTCAAAAACAGACAAGCAGTTTTGTTTGTTTTGGATAAAGGTACAATTATCTCAAGTATTCGGGTTTAATCAAACTTAAGAAAATGAGAGTTTATTAGGTTTTTAAGTTGGAGCATTATGGTCGTGTCACAAATAATTTATTTTGAGCACCGACGCTTGCCCTATTATCTATGAAAAAGTTGCACAACCAAAAGTTGGTTTTATTTTTGTTTAAGCTAATTTTCTTTTAGACTCAAATTCCCAATAATTTTTCTCAAACTAATATGTTCTCAGTTCTACTTTACCGCAATTTATGAATCTTCACGTGCTAGCATCCGTGAGCATCTTTGCAATCAAAATCAGTTAAGATCTGCCCATCATCAGCTAAATTATTTTAAAAAAAGAGGACACTAGTGATGATATATTTTATTTAGCTAAAATGCAGCATTTTAAAGTTCAAAAGCAGTTACTCACTTGGAAAGAAACTTACTTATCACTGAGTGGTATCCAACAGCGAAAAGACTTCTTGAGGCAATTGTACCTAGGTGATTGTTATTTAGAGGCACCTTTAGAATATCCCTCCCCAGCTTCTGCATTAAACAAGTACACCATAGGTTGCATTTTAACAATAAAGTCTTTCCCAGTAATACATAATAGATTTAAAGGCAATAATAACGTTGAAGCCAATTGTATTTATACGTATTTTACCATTTTGATTATATGTTACACTCTTTGCTTTGAATTCGCAGGTACTTAGGTCTCCGCCATTGCACCTGGTTATGTCAGTAGCTTGCACCACTTCCGCACGTCGGCAGTCCTTATTGTGCTCTGACACTATGTTCTCTTTTATCTTTAAGAAAAGAACCGAAATGCTGCAGCACCTTTTTAAAGTTTTGTTATAAACCAAGCATTTGTCTGTTTGCATTAATGTACATTTACCACTTAATTTTCCATAAAATCAGTGATTCTGTTTTTCAACGCAGTAGATGATCTTTCAAGATTTTAAAGTACCAAAGCAAAAATTTGCAATGAATTAGATGAGGCTGTCATCAGTTGGCGCTATCGCTGCGTTCAAACTTTTGTAAGGATCGCTGCTAAAGTAGGTATTACTTCAAGCTTAGAATCTCGTCTTTGAATAAAAATCTATCAGTTGGCTTGCTACAAACGAAATGTAGAAATAACAGTTTTGCACACCTATTCCAGATGATCATAAAAATAAGGGAAATTGTATGTCATGTTAAAGATTTTAAACATGAGAGATATTTTACAGTGACTATTTTGGCGGCTTTGGTTTACCAGTTCAGAGCGTAGTCTACAAACTCATCATCTATCCCATGAAGAGCGGTGATTAATTAGATATGATTCATCCTGTATGCATTTAATGGCACACACTAAAAGACCTACCATGTAAAGTTATTCATCTTTTCTTAAGTGGGGGATTTTACTCCTATACAGAGGCAGAACTTTTGGTAGTAAAACAATGCAAATGCTTTATTTGGTCCCATACTATGATTCATGTCTGGCGACTATTGTTTTGTTATTTCGATTTTCCTTAAAAAACCAAATGTTAGAACATCACTTTTAGCCCCTTAAAGTTTAAACAAAAGTAGTCAATTACTGTATAACAATATTAGCAACATCTGACAGGCAAGTACAATAATCTTAAAGTGCGAAATAAAGATACACAATACTTACTAGACAGACTTGAACATACTACGAAACTCCAAGTTTTTACTTGATCTTGATCAATACCCCAGAGCCCGCAACTAAATACAGTAACAGGTTAGGCTGATGTTTATTACGATATTGTGATGTCCAGCTTTAAAACAGACCTTAGAACAAAACACTCAAGAGGTTTGCGTTTGAGCAAAAAACCTATTAAAACCAATACCTGATCTCAAAGCAGTTCATGCATTATGAACCACGCCTTAGATACTAAGGATTTACAGTCCCTTTAACTAAATTGTTTGTCTAGATAAGTTTCTTAGATTTGTAACACTTTGTTTAACTCAAAGAAAATTAAGTAATTAATTCTGATACTAAGAATAAAGCCTGCTCAAACATATTTTTAGTTTTGGTCTATTTGTCTTTTTTACCAACTATACCTTTCAAGCACTATATATTTATAGCGTCTCAGTGGCTTTTTACTGCGTATGTCATAAAAGAGGTGCGGGATATTTTTTTAAAATGAAAATGACTGGCACTGCTGTGCTTGTTAAGCAGTCCACATCCAAATCGGGTGTGAAAACCCTCAAGACGGTCAACCGATCAATCGTGGGAGGTTGATTTGGAGAAAGAACCTGAGTGATGACTTGCTGACTAATTTTTGGCATGTACTCATCACTGGAGCTCTGGCTTTTGATTGTCTTACACTACCACATCGGCTGCCATCATTTCGCTTATGACTTTAACTCTTCACTATTATCCTTGAACCTTACAAAGGCACAATAGTATCGTGAGGAATCTAAAGAAATTGCACTCCATAACCACCTTCTTTGATTAGATTACTCCTCAACTATTAAATGCTTTTAATTTTGAAATGGTTGATTTAGTATTGCTACTGAAACGTACATACTGTGCTTGGATCAAGAATTCTGCAAAAGTGAAACCCAAAATTTCAAGTTGTTGGCATCAAGCTACATTGATGAGCTTGTTTTGACACTTTACACTTACTAATATAATTTGTGCCTAACTGTTAAGATACCCTGATATTTTGAAATTTCCTGTTCATTTGTTCAAAGGTACAAATAAAAAGCAGGCAAAACGTCTAATACGTAATTATATTCTTAAGACAAAGTAGACTGTTCTGTAGGTTGATGCTATCAAGATTCCGTTTTATTCCCCTCTAATTTTAGTGCAGGCCTTTTCAATTTGCAAGAAAGAACAAATGGTCGTCAATAAATTTGTAGGTAGAAAAAATTAATGATTGCGATTGTATTTCGACAATTTTTACTAGACTAATTTTGAATGATTTATCAGTTTTTACTATTCAAATTCAGCTAACTACCTTTGTTAAAAGAAAGAAAATAATTAAAGACATTTTTACTGCACTTGTCGTATTGTTTTGCGCATAATAATCTTAAAGATTACACATTTTCAATGTGCACGAGGGGTAATAGGCTACTGACATGATCCGATCATGCCACTTAGCGGAAGTACAAAAGCCAAGCCTTAAGTGCCCTCTAAACTAAGACAAGGAGCTCAACGAATAATCAAAGTATTACATTACACTGGTTAAAACATCGAACATCCGAAGTTTGCTTGGGGGACACATTTGATTTACTCCACCGAAGTTTCCGTTTTTGAATTTATTCTAAAATGTGGAGAAATAGCAAGCACAATTGGAGTTTACAGGAAATTACTGTGGTAATAAAATTTCATTTGAGGATTGCAAGAAATTATCTGCTGGGTGGCTCTGAATGTACTTTGTAGTGGAAATTTTACACCACCAGGTGTACGTGACTTTAAACAGTTGAGACTAGGGGTGCAGACAAAAGTCTCATTCAAAATGCATTGAAGGCATTACCTTTCGTTTTATAGACACTATCTACTGTATTAATGATCATTGAGTGCTAAGGTTAAACAGCCAACAATAAAAATTGTGTGGTAGGATTTTATGTAACTAATATTCGCATAAACGAGTTGCTCCATTTAATATTTAATCGGTAGCATCATTAGTAATTTGAATCCTAATACCCATTAGCATATTTCCGGAGCAAAAAAGAAAGTTTTGCACAATAATATTGCACCACCCTTGGTTGGAATATGGCATAACATTTTGATGCTTACTTTCCATACGTTGGAAATTTTGTGCCTTGTTTGCTATGTAGCCATTTGTGGAGGTAGTCTTTAGAGTTCGTTGATTGCTCACATAAGTTCACTTGCCAAATATGAGCATTCATTTTAAGTAATCTTCTCCGTTGTTAGTTTAATCCAAAGGAAGTTGAGCATTCTTTGTGGAAAATGAGCACCCTTCGTCTCGTTAACTGGTCAGCAAATTTTTACGTATTTTTTTGCATAAATTCCTTTTATTCAGTGAATGAAATGTAACTATTCAAATCTTATACTAAGGGCAATAACATCACGTACTCTAAGGTGTGAATTAATGACTTACTTAAGACTTAATGCCTTAACCAGAATAAGTCAGAAAGATATACTTAAAGATATACGCAGTTTAATCTCGTCTTAAATTTTGACTTGTCATCCCTTTGATTTTGCTTGAGTTTTAAGACTTAAAAGGAGTCATTAAAGAAGCTGATATACATTTGGCATTAGATATTAAAGTACTTTTGACAAAGCCAGGATTCTTGTTGTCTTGGGTTTGGTAGCCTTTTTAAACTTTCTTGATAGTCGTTTTACTAAAACATGCTCATTTTGATTTCTCGGCTAACTCTAAGGGCTTTCTGGGCACACAAAGGTTATTTTGATACCTGTAGTTTGCCGTCTTCTAAATATCATTTAAGCAAATGTCGTCTCCTGCTGGTTTTTTATGGTTACTTATTCAGGGATACTTCGGGACTCCATAATTACATTTTTTACCTGTAGGCATGCTCAAATTTACTTCCAAAAGGACTTTAACGATTTTGTAAAATTGTTGGGTGCGTTTATCTATAAAAATCAACTTTTATATATTTTTATTAAAGAGGCCAATTCCAAATTGTTTTTATTATCATCTAAGCAGTCGTTTCCCTAAAGTAGCAAATAAAATATACCAAAACTTAATGATTAGTTGCTTTTAAAATCTACAAAAGTCGGCACCTATTCGTCGTATAATTCTCCTTTGCAAAGCAAAATGCCTCACTCTACAGAAATTGGCACATATTTGTCAAGATTTTACACATTATCTTCTCATGTTACATGCTCTTGCACAATGAAAGACTGATTAGCCAGTAATGTAGTATAGGGTGTTACTTTTGGAAGAGTGAGATATATTGGTGCTGTTGCCAGATAAAAGGTTTTTTGGAAGTTGCCTTTTGCGCCCAACGAGTGGGAATATATGCATGAGCATGTCCACACATAGAGTAGTCGGTGAGGAAGCAAAATGGGACACACATTAGTGAATTCTACTGTTACATACTTCATGTCGCACTTGATTGTGAAAAATTATAGATACCAATGCCTCACTGTGTATTCAAAAATCTCGGTTTACTTAAAAGAATAGAAAATCATTCTCCATCTTTCTCAATGTGCAAGCATATGAAATATGCCATGGACTAAGATCTGCAGTAACTTCATATATTTGAAACCATTAAATAAATATTAAATACTTCAAACAGCATCATTTGGCATTCAAAGTGAATTAGGCTTACTTCTCTGTGTTTCACGATTGCTGCATTATAACTCGTTATTTCATCAAAAATATTGGCTTAATCAGTTTATTAAGACTTTATAAAATATCAACTTAAAGTTTTTATAACTCTCAGTGGCTTATAGAAATAAATATTGTCCCTAAAAATTATCACAGACTTCCATTGTTTGCATTCAATCTTCCACGACTAGTAAATGACACCCCGATGTCCCTTTAAACTACCACATTTTAAGTAAAATAACGTTTAAAATGACCATAGAGTAAGTTCTAACGCCCAGTTTATGAATTGCCAAACTTATAATTTTCTATATCGTATGTTATTGTAGACCACATAATATTAAGCCCTCATTTTTAATATAAATTCTAAACTAGATGTAAAGCTTTATAAATTTCCATACACCTAAAATATTTTCAATGGAGACTTTGTACACATTGTTGGCAAGACAGAAAGTGAAAGTTATGCTTGATTTATCAAGTTAATTCGTATTTTTGTACCACTGGCTGCACTCCATTGACACCGCAATGCACTATAAACTTTCTATTTCATCTCTGCTGATGTTTTTCTCGTCTTCAACATGATTTAAACGGTCTTAAATGCTATTACTATATGCTTTCCCACGGCCTCCAACTAATAGGGTAGATACAGCTTTTTCGTCTGCCTACACCACTTTCTTAGACCGACAGTTTAACACACAATACATGCTTAATTCTCAAAGAATCCAAAAAAAATTTAGTAGGAGAGAAATTTCCCCGTACTTCTTCAGGAAGTCAGACCTTTTTAATGCACCACTTTTGGTGGGCAAATTACAGTAATTACTATATTTAATATAAGATTTTTCATATACCTGGAAAAATTACCCGTAAGCCTCTTGTTTCATTTTTTTGTTGATGTATTTTCAGCAAAATTCACTCATTAATCTTTGCTTTTAAGCCAAATTAGAGAAGCCGTCTTGGTAACTCCTTTCTGACAATAAAATCTCCCTGATAATTAAATTAATAAACTCGTTTCACTCATCATAGAGGGTGCTTATCAAGAGCAGCGCATCTAGCTGGAAAAGGGTATTATTTATACCTATTAACAACACTTAATGGACTTTTCCAAGCAATAGTTGCAACTCTCACCCCTTGTACTCTTAACTCTAGATCTCCGATGAATTTATGCATGTTGCTTACCAATTTTGGCGGTGATTATAGGCATTAGTTACCAATGCGTGACATTTCTGACTCAAAACAGGTGATATCTGTTTAGAAAATAAGCAGAAATTAGGTCCAGGTATTTTATTTGGTAAAAATACGTTACCTATGTCATTTCGTTCTAAAAAGGTTGTGAATAAATAGTATACGAGCGACCCAATCTTCCATATGAAATCCCTATTGATACTTTAACCACTTGTATTTACCAAGTTAACATTAGATTTTAATCTACTATGGAGCATGTATTAAAAAGCTGTGTTTTGATTTGCTCTTTGATTAAACGCATTTTGCATGTAGGCATGTCAGCTTTAACTTTATTGAAGCACAAAGTGATCTGTATTTTAGCAAGTGAGGTTAATTCCCATTTCCTTTAAAAAGCGATTAATTTACCTAACGATGCGAGCATCATATGTGACCACTAACGTCTTTGGCGGCGGTCAAAGATGTACCTTTAATCTAAGAATTCTTGCACCCGAAAATAAAATCTTGTATGTGAACGGTCAGTGTTTCCTCGTAAAATTTGTACGCAATCACTCTTTCTTCTTCATTTTGACTGTTTCTTTTGATAGAGACAACCTTTAGAGAGAAATAGCAAAAATCTTTTACTAAATTCTCTTTAATGCGTGTATCTTTTAATAATATCTCTGTCTTATCCCCTTATTAGTTATAAAATGGCACCTTTGTTTTGTACAGGACATTTTCAAATCGCACTAAACTTAAAACTTTTGAGGTATATAGGTGCAATTCGGTTCAATCTCACGCCTGTTTTATTAGTTAATTCACTTAACATGCTTCCTGAAATCCAAATATTATAAGCAGGCCCTCAGAAGCAAGCATATCTATTCTTTTTAGGGATAAAATAAACAGCTTAAAACTTCGGGTTACAAATAGTTACTTATCCTAAAATTGTTGCTGGTTAGAATATACATATAGGTATCTTTAAAGTCGAACCACCTAAAATGAAAATAAGCGATAAGATGGACAATAATTAAAGCATAGGCTTATTTAATCTAAGATTTAAAAAGGGTCTTAAATGTGTCTGTGATTTATTGTCTCTGACGTTTAGTTTTCTGTCTTTTACTTATCATCATACCATTTCCTACAAACGATGTATATGTTCCGAAACGGACAAATTTCCACAGCCTATTGATGTAGGAAATGCAATCTAAGCAGCTACCTTCGCCTACTGCTCCATTACCGCAGATAAATGTGCATTACCAAAGGCTGCTTGGCGTTTGACTACTGTATTATGTTGTCCGCCTAATTGCATCTCAGGCTACTCTACTAATTTTATTCAGAACATTCTAGAGTTTGCCTCATTAAGTCCATAGCCAATGGTTGTGTTTATTGGCTATCAATGGAAAAGATGGTGGTCACTTTGTAAGAAGTTGTCGGCAATGCCAACAAGTAGCAAACACCTCGAAAGTTCTCTTATTACCTTAAACTTGGGTAGAAAACCATTGATACTAATTTATCATAACCCTGTCGTGCCATTCGATGATGTCTGTTATCTCTTCCTCTTTTGCTATTTTTCCAAGTGCTCAGAGGTAACACCTGTAGTCTTTCCTATGCAACTATAGGTGTTACAAGTCCTTCACCAGATTTTAGGTCAAACAGACTCCCGAACACGTTGATCAAAGAAAAAGTACTACGGCTCACTTCACCACCATATTACTCCAGCTTAATGGGCAGACGAGGTGGTCTATTGAAATCGAGAGGAAGAGGTGTTGCTAGTATTCTCTGAAGGTTCCTACAGGCAATTTGGATGACTCTAAACGATTACGGTGGAAAATATCAATTGTCATCAAAGGCGCCAATAAGGTGTAAAGTTCATTTGATAAGCACATAGATGATAACGCACCCACAAACTGCTTTGAAGAATGTTAAACAGAAAGTTCAATTTCAACCGAGTACTGATGTCTGTTTCTGCGACTGACTTACCGATAGATAGTTGGTTAAGCTTTGCAGAAAAACGAAGAGTACCTCCTTGACATCATGAGCAATGATGACACCTTAATGAAAAAATTGAGACCAAATTCCTCCTTGTCATGCAGTAAAACAGAGGCTTAACGTGTACTTTAGGTATGGATATACTGCTGTGCACTTTTAGACACCGTATCCAGTTATAAACCTACGTTGTAGGTGGCTTAAAAAGTAATCGTTCTTTCCTGCTTGGCTATGTACTGACAGATGTGGACACATTATAACCTTTTCAAAGAGTCCCTAAGTCATCAATAATGGCTCTTCAAAAAGACTGAAAATACCATCTGTAAGGCCTCTGTGGTTCAGCCCGAAGGGTCAAATATCCTGGCATTTTAAATGGGAATATGGGAGGAGCATGAGTTAACATGCACACTGATCGTGATCAAGGCTCAGGTCAAGCAGATATCCGTATACTTCTGATACACTAGTAAACGACAGTCTGGGCTGTTTCTAGCTAATGGATTAGTTAGGCTTTACACATACATATGCCTAAATTTACTCACTCACACCTAAAGTAAAATAATAGCATTTTAAGTTGATTTGATCTTGCAGATAAAGCTGTTGTATTCACAGCAGGCCCACTAATGAAGCCTGTAAGAAAAGGTCTAAGAAAAGCACTACCGCCGTCGCTTTGGCGGCGGCAGCAGTAGCAGCAGTGAGCAGGGCAGTCTTGGCATATGTTGCTGCTTCCACCTTTAGTGATTGGATTGAGTCGAGGAGGCCACCGCAGTAGCCACTAATAGCATTACCTAGAGTCGCCAAGAGGCGCTGCCCCATTAAAACTGAAAGCGCCGGCTTCAGTGATAGGAAAAGTGACGAATTTACTGTCCAGACGGTAGGATAGCCCCCAGTTACTGAAAATCCCGCATATGTGAATACGTAATTAGGACGCGCTTTCTTCTGTTACAGGATGGAAATAAAATAAATGAAAAGCTATTCTTTTAATTACTTTTAAATACTTTTTTAAAACAAAATTATGTATACCTCGAAATAAACCCTTATCCAGAGCTGCAGAAGCGATAGTGGCTCGCAGTTATAAAAGCTGTGGAAAAAGCGTTAAATCATTGATATGAAAACAGAAGATCCTTACTACTGGAGCCATAACATAATTATGGATTCAATTTAAATTAGTGCCATTTTGTTACAAACAAGTTGTCGCTTTACACTTGTCCAGAATGCCGACTGCCTCTCATGCTAAAAGATTAATTCTTCCAGAAATATGTTTCTTCGTATTTTTCACAACACTTTATTGTACTCCTCCCTTCCCTTCCCAAACTGGATTATGATTCCATAAAAAGTAATTTTTACATTTCACTGGAGTTCAAAACACCTTTTTTCATTTTTTAAGCGTGTCGAAATTTTTCGACTATCAAGCCTCTTTTAAAGGATAAAAAGAGAACCAAGCCCCCTCAACGATGGCATTTAGTATAAAACTTTACTTGGTCTGTTTAATGAATTACCACATTTTATTTCGAATCCCTCGTGTTTCCACTTTTATGCGGCAATTCAGTTCTCAAACTCTTAATTATAATCAAATTTGTAAACATGCTTTAGCCTCAAGATGCATAATTAATATACTACGTAACAAACTTGTTTACGCCTAAATAAATTAGGTGAATAATTTGTCTAGAGAGAAAAAATGAGTCCAATTACTCAAGATACGAGGAGCAGACTTAAGTTGTGAACTTCAGGACTTTGATCTGCTGACAAAGATAAGAGGAGTGTAACTACCATCTTTACTTCATTGAAGCCACGGTGATATTGAAAAATTGCAAAAATATGAATGATGTTTGCAGGAGTGTCCTAGGAGTTGCCGCTTCAGCCGAACCGGACTTCAAACGACTGACACTTGCGATTGCATCAGAACGCCTCGTTGAAACTGCCCATTTAAAATGGCTGTATCAAACTTTATCTAACTTATGGATGGTGTATCGCTTCTCCATTTTTTGCTTTAGACTGATACCTAACCGAATATTTTCCCAAAGAGCATATAAAAATTGAAGTGAAATAAAACTTTGCAAAAAATTTTCAGTTACTCACATAAGTTTCTTCTTTTAGACAATTTCGTCAAAAATTATTTGAAGTCACAGGCTTTTAATTCAACAAGGTGCATTTCTAAATTAATAGATGGGAAAATAACAAAGGCCTCGAGGGAGGTTATTTTGAAGCATTCAGACTCACACAAAGCATTGCTTCAACCACAGTGTCATATTTGTCGAATTCACAGTCACAATATGCGGCTGCGATGGTCATTTTCTCAACAATAGCCAATGATGTCACAAAAAACCTGTTTGTTTTAGGTCCGTTCTAAAAAAAGAGAAACTGTATGACTGAGTAATAGTGAATTCTGCAATCGCTACTCTGGTTGCATATGCTCCAAGTTCTACTGTTTTTAGTTAAGTTAGTACTTGGGGCTATGACATTTCGATTTATTGCAACCTATAATAAAAATTGAACACTTCCTACCATAATTCAGCAATTCCCTATCATTTGTTTTGTGAGGAGTGATCAAATGGATTGCAAGCTAAAAAGCGCCATTTTGAAAGAATTATTGCATTTAAATTGCAAAATTTTTGAGATTAGCAATTCTGAATACATGATTAGTTTATTAACAAATTAACCAAATATTTGTTAGAAAATTGGTTACTCAAATAGAAACTTTAAAAAGCTGGATGGGCGCTTATTTGTTGGTACAGATTTTTAAATGCTAATGTACTACTTGGTTAAAGACTATTTGTAAAGTGCTTGGATTACTCCGGCTATTTTGTCGAATTGTAGCACAGCCCTCAGTATCTACAAACTTTTCAAACTGTTTTGGGATATATAGTGAAAGTTTATTTAATGGAGTCAAATTAGTTGGTAGCAATAGAGTAAACCATTTGATAGTTCGATAGCTTAAGTGGCTTGGGAGACTGATCCCCTGATACCACCTTGCCCTAGCGTACACTGATCATTCTAAAAAAATTGTCGCTGTAATTCCTCTTGTAAAATCAAGCATCCTGTCCAATAGACTGCATGTGTAATCTCTTTATTGGACCGTCGTTTTCTGCGATATCAATTTGAGAAAATATTCGAAAAATACGAAAATACCATAGAAAGCGAAATGCAACTCAAATTTTAGGAAAGAAATTCGACGTTCAAATTTGATCTACTTGTGCACTTTGGATCCATTTGTGCTTTAGTGTACAAAATGATTCTGTTTAACTCCCTGACAAGATAATAAACAAATAGGGACAGCAGTTTTTTCTACCTGTGGCTTTTGACAATGGGAAAAAGCGTAACCAACGCAAACGCAGATGTGGTTTTTCTTAAAATCTTATAGCGCAACTAGTATGGTAAAACGCCTTAGTTCCCTAGTGTTTGACTGGGTCATTCACAAATTCTGGTCAAAATGCTGCTGCTTCACTTGTTATTAGTATGCTTTCTCAAATAGTGCTACCATTTCAAACATTTTTCGCAATTTTGTAGAGATTTAAGTTTTTTTGAACCATTTGACGCACATTTTTAAGTAATTTATAGTCAGTTTCCATTGAATAATCCGTCTGATTGTGACTGTCTTTTGAATAAAGAAAATGTAACATGGCCTTCTAAGATCTACTTATTCCGTTGTGAAAAAGTCAGGTGTACATATAAAAGATTGAATATAAAAATGCATTAAAAATTTAATACTTTTATAGTTATGACACTAGACCTACTCTCTTGGCCTGAAGTTAAAGCTAACGTTCTCCCAGGTATAGTTTAAGCTTTATTAAAAGTTCTCCTTTTATTTGCAAGATATGCGGCTGCTGGTGGCGTTACCCAGGAGTTCTTTTGGACGAAGGAGGAAAAAAAATAGGAAATAAGGTTCCATCATTCTGCTATACAAAAAGACAGCCTCCCATTTTGAGCTATTTTTATTCGTTTTTTCCCTTTTGGTTTTAATACTCCTTTGAAAAGCCAAAATTTAGCAATTAAAGGCTTATTCAAAAATATTTGTTTTATGTACACCGTGAATATTTACATGTATGGGGACAAAATTATAGAAGGTTAATTATTGAAGGTTAATGGGTCAAATAATCGTAAATTTCTTTGCCTAATACTTTTAAAAGCTTTTACAGCTTAAGAAATTGACGTCCGGTAATTGCCAAATTTGTTCGTATAAAGCGCTTTATTGCCCGGCTCCTTCACCAAAGCCCGCAGCAGGATTTACATCATTTAATTTAGCATTTATTACTGCTCATGCCTTTAAAGTTTGACTTTTCTTAATTATGTGGATTAGTGCTGCCTGAATTAGTAATATATAGTGAATACCATAGTTAAATAAAAGCCGTAAGAATCCAAACAAATTTATTGGAGATGATTTATAAGAATGCTTAGAACTAAGACCTATTCTGTTTCTGTTACGATGGCTCTCTTTAATTAAGAACAGAAAAATTAACCGGAATTTGTACACCCATCTTTACATATGCACATATCCAAGCACTGGAATTTAACTATATCATTTAAAATTCTTCGAAAATGAATCTGACAGGCACTTAATGGATAAAGAGTGAATTTTGAATTGCAAATTTTCAAAGCTCTTGCCTTTTTGACAAATTATATGCTTATTATTTGGCGATTTTGTGTAAATCTGTGAAATACTGCCATTTACTCCGTTATCCATCTAACTACACATCTTGGTAAGTGACGTAAATAGATTAGAATATAATAGTTACCGAAAGGGTGTCATGCTGTTTTAGGCAGTTCATTATTTAGTCTCGGTTCACGCTAAATTCTTGTAAGACCACATATTACCAAAACTTTAAAAGAAACATTCATTTTATATTTTTTACAAATTCTTTGTGTTGGGAATGATATTTTGCAATTGCATTAATACAAAATGAGTGGCTTGAGCTTTTTGAACTGATTCTACACAGTTTTTGCGTCTTAATACTACTGTGTTAAGTTAGGACACATTTTGGCTCCGATTAATCCAAAACAGCAATGTCTCAAGTTTGCAAAAATACTCCGCTGTCAACTAAGTCCATGGGAGGCCAAAATAAATTTACTTTAAAAAAAAGAATTCGTTGTCATGGGAAATTGTAACTGTGAAGCATTGCAAGGGGCGTGTGAGAACAAATTTGACTTCAAAATAAAGGGTTCGGAAAAGTTTGTCACAGTGTTCTGAATTTTCAATAATAAGTGGTCGCCATCTAGGGCTCATAAAATACCACAAAAGGATACAAAGCATAAATTGTCATGACAAATTCTGCGAAATTCCTTTTTTACCCTATGTCAAAACTAATCATTTCTAAAAAATAAATTTCGAATAAATCTAGTAGTAAAAGCCAGAAGCAATCCAAGGAGTTTCTTGAGCATTTAGAATGAATATATAAGCAATTGTTATTAAAGTTTTTGATGAAATAAATCTATCAGTGTCGACTAAGGGAGCCAAAACTATTCTTTTCACCATTGGCAGACAATAGTGCTTTTTAAAATTACAAGTCCCTATTTGAAAATGAGTTAGCGAGAGAAAGGGCTGTAAATTTCTGCAAGGTAAATCAGTACATATCTATTTTGTATCCCTATGCTTCATCTTTTCCTTTGTGTATCATTAAAGTGACTAGATATGGAGCACTTGAAGTAAGTACTTGTTACTGCAGGAAAAATCATTAGCAATATTTATGACAATTTTGTATTTCTAATGTCCTATGAAGCAAGTCTCCGTTGTTTCGGGTAAAAACTTTCTAATTATGAGAAAATGCATATTGCATTGCAATAGTCTTAGTATTTTCCTCCTCCAACTCAGCTATCATACC